GAGATCGGTCCTGTTCCTGGAACAAGATCAATGGAAAACTCTACCTCCCTAGGGGGTGGTAGACCAGGTAAGTCATCCGGAAACACATCAGGAAAGTCACATACCGTAGGGATGTCCCCCCTACCAGGCGCCTCCTGACAAGTGTCACGCACTGTGCACAAGAATGCTTCACACTTCTTGCGAATGAGTCGACGAGCATGAATGTAGGAAATGAATTCTGGAGCTTTCGGAAGAAGCTCACCATGGATCAGTACGTCACTACCGTCTTCGGCTCTCAGTCGAACAGTATGAACTCCACAGTCAACAACGGCTTGGTTGGCGGTGAGCCAATCAATGCCCAGAATAACGTCAAACTCACGATGTGGAAGCTCAATGAGACTCGCAGGGAAAATCTTTCCCTGGACCACTAATGGGCAATCGTGATACACATGGGTGAGTCGTAGACTGTGTCCCAATGGGTTGGACACTAATACCAGATTGTCTAAATTTTCCCTCGGAATGTTAGGCATAACAGGCATAGGCATACAAACATATAATAGAGTGGAACCCGGATCAATCAAAGCTGTAATAGATGTATCGAATAAGGTAAACATACCCATGATGACGTCATGGGCGGGCTGCTCGGTACGCCCTCGCATTGCGTAAGTACGGGCCTTCCCCGCCTGAGCGCCCGATGCCTACCGTTTGGGCTGGCTAGATGCTGCCGCCGATTTCTGACTCTGGGCGGGCTGCGCTGCTGGGACTGGAGCGGCTGGTGCGGTCGAGAAAACTTCACCCGGATTCTTCGGACAATCTTTTCGGAAATGCCCGGCCTGGCCACATCCAAGGCACAGGCCAAGAGTGTACCAACACTCTCCTGGGTGCCTGCGCCCACAAAGGTCGCAAATCGGGTTGCGAAACCCATCCCCGCTCTTGCCCTTCTTCTGTACGGACGCAGATGACTGAGCTGGGGCTGACTTCACCTTCTTACTATGGTGAGAGCTACTCGGCGCTGTAAAGGACCTCTTGCTGCTGGTCCCCGCCTTCTGGGGTGGAGGAGGACGAGATGGTGCCGTTGACGCTCCTAGTGTGTGCTCATACTCAGCCTTCTTGATGAGGGCCGCATTCAAATCCAACGCATTCTTGTACAACGCATTGATGTCACTCCGGGGAGCAATGATCAGATGGGTCGAAAGGTCGGGACGTAAACCCTCCACGAAGCGTTTGCATCGCTTCTCCACGGTCGGTACGAGGTCTTGCCCAAACCCCGCGAGCTCGTCAAACTTCTAACGATACTCAGGCAGTGTGAGTTCACCCTGGGTGAACTTCAAAAACTCCTCCCGCTTCGCCTCGACGAAGTGCTCAGGGATGTACTCTTCGTGGAAGAGTCGGTCAAATGTGGCCCACTGCACGGGCTCCGGGATGCCTGCTCCCACACGCTTCCACCAGTCGTAGGCGGAATCCTGAAGTAATGCGACTGCGAGGTCGCCACGCTGCTCCTGTGGAACCCTCAGGTTCCCCAACACTCAGATGGTTCGCTCAAACCACCGTTTGACAATCATGGGGTCGGCGATCTGATCGCCCAAGAATTCCTCAGCTCCATTCTTCCGGAGTTTCTCGATAGTGACCACCGCCACTGGTGGCGGCGGTGGAGGCACGTAAGCTCCAGCCATCTGCTGGAGGAAGTTCATGAAGTTAGCTGCGAACTGCGGCTGGACAATAGGGATGGCTTCCGGTATAGGGCCCACGCCCGGGACCGCCTGCTCAGAGGCCTGCTGAGGTGTGAAGCTCGACGCTTCAGTGTGCACGCTCACGTGCTCAGGCTCCGCCTCTTGGACCGCCTGTCTGTCATTGCCAGCTGCTTGACTCATTCTCTAAAGGAATAACTTAAATTAGAACTAGTTATAATATGACATACATGTGATCTAAATAACGGTGTACCTTTCCCTGGGAGTGATGCGATGGGAGATGCGGCTGTGGACTTTTGGACGACAAGTTGTGTTTTTTTTTCAAAAACCGAACCGGGGGCTCTGATACCAAATTGTAACACCCGCCCTCCGTGGACCCGGTTCACCCGCGACCCAACGAACCGGTAGGGTTACATGGACAGTCCGAGAACCATCCGTTACGAAAACGTTAATGATTATTTAAAAAGAAAACGGTTGGGTTTTAATTAGAGGAATAAATGCCAGGGAGTTACTCCCAAAACGTGTGTAATGAAAGTGCAGAGTACTTGCGGAGGTAATTAAATAAGTTCAGTCCAAACTAAATAACGACAAGGGTGGGTTCATGCCCAATTGATTAATGAAGTTATTGAAAGTAATTAAGAGTTCGTCCATGCGTCGCCCATCTCCCCATCATCATCGCTCTCCAGGGTTGGCACCTGCTCCGTCATGTCTACCTGCGTGTAGCAAAAACAACTACACGCTCAGCAAAAGCTGAGGAGTGAATCTAACAAAAGAACATGAAGTGATAACCCATATGGCTATACCCACATCAATACCTGTACTTAACGTACGGGACACCACACGTTACTAACTGTTTAGTTTTCACCTGTTAAAGCTGTTTCGAATAACAAGGAACACAGTGATGATGATATGACTTGATGCATGACTTAAACTATCAGGGACACCCCTGGCTTAGTCTTACTTGACAGGATCACCCCTGCACTCCGGTCATCGTCCCCGAACGGTAACGAGCCGGGCACGATGAAAACATCGCGAGTGGACTAGCAAAACCGGGTAGTAGCCGTAACCTGACTACTATGTACGTACACAAGCCCAACATGATGAAAACCCGCTGGTCCCCAAGGGTTCCTGGACGGGCCCACTGTAGTAGGCGCTTGAAGTCCTCCCTACAGCGGTATGCATATGATGGAAACCTAGAACATCCGTCTAGAACGAACATGATGGAATGAATGCATTGATTAAAGAAAAGAGTTAAATTCAATTCTTACATATGTGCTTGATTATGATTTGTTCAACATGATGGCCCTGGGTTCAGAACTGGC